TACATATTAACTACCCGTTAAACTGAATAGTCACCCTTTTTCCTAATATTTTTGGTAGATAGATGTTAATTATATTTATATTTATGTATTCAGTCCTCTGAACTACACTCCTCAGGCACATAAGTCCTTGAAGCTGAAAAGTTTCCATGGTCCTTTTCACTATTATTTTTTATTCTTTCAAAAAGGAACAGAAATATATTTTATTACTTGCTTAATTTTAGTTTTTCCATTGTCCTCATTTCAGAATGAGAATCTTTAAATTGTTTTTTAATTTAATTTTTTTAAAAATAATATTTGAAGGTCATTCTTTAAGTCAGAACTTTCTGCACAATGGCCTGGTATGTGAAAAGGAGATAAGCAGTATTTTCTCCATTTTAGGACAAGAAAAACAGGGGTTATCCTTTAACAAAAGAATCCTTCTCCAGGTTTTGTTTTTCTTCTTCAGCTAATTAAAAGGCTTTGTTTCAAAGAAAAGCTATAGACCAGATTTCTAAGTCTTCATTACGCAAAGGGCAGCGTCAAATTGGAGGATCAACTTTTTTTCCATTCCTTCTCTGCATTCCCACTGACACAACCGCAAATACTTAAAACAGTGAAATTTAATTGCTTTATCTCAACAGCAGTCACATGAGTTTATAGAATCAAAGAAATCTAGAATTAGGAATAATTAGTAGAGCATTTAACTTAGGGATGGGATATGTGATGGGCAATGTAGCTCCCCTCCACCCCGTCTCATCTGTGGCAGACATCACTAATCAATTACTGAACCTAAATGTGGCCCAACAGATGTTTTCTGCATAATGCCCCCAGCTGTCATTACCAAGTAATTGGAGCTCCCAGTGAGACCCTATCTGAACTAATCTAATCACCTTACATTATAACATTGAGGCCCATAAAGGTAAAGTGACTGGCCCAAGGTCACTCAGTGGCTGACAGAGAACCCCTACATTGTATAATGTAAGAATCTGTTCTCTTATGAGCCTTGAATCAATTGACTATGTCCCAGTTCCCAGCAAGGGCACATAAGAGTCTATACAGGGTAGATCATTTCCATCTGGGAAGACAGGTTCCTATGGCATCAAGAAACTCAAGGGAGCAGCCAGAGACAGACAGCAAGACATTACTGTTCCTCCTCGTATTCCAGTGAGGGCAGGGGATAGAGAGGAGGAAAATTAAGATCTTCTACAAGCCTTATAACTATGGAATTCTTGAAACTGTCCCACCAGGTAGCAGGGAAAGAAGGAAGGTGTCCCTCTACAAGTGGCAGTCCACAAGAAGGGTGCCCAACTCCCCTTCTGTTGTACTTGTTCATGTTCCCACAACCAAGGTTTAGAAGTTGTTCAGAAACTAAATAACTAAAGTAGTCCTACTCTAGTCACTTTTTATCCCAGCACCCTGTTTTATTTTCTTCTTAACATTCTCAGAATTTATCTAATATATCTAAGCATGTAATTTTGTTTAAGACATATTTGAATCTGACAGATGAAATTCCTTTAGGTAATAACCTCTTTGGGGAAGAAACACCAAGTATTTCCTACAACTTCTCTCTGCTTCTGCACATGTCCCTAAAATAGCGTTGTTGGCGTGTAGGAAGCGTTATATTGCTGAGGAAGCCTGAGACCTTGGATCCATTTTGTGTCCTTGTACTATTCTCTGACTTCTCTGGATGCTCAACAACCTGTTCATCGCGAGCAGTCTATCTTGTATCTTGGCCTCACTAAGCTTGCTGAGAACATGGGGGCAAACCAGTTCTTCCTGAGATCTGGCTATTACTACTTTTTGTTCCCAGCCCGATCTTCAAAGCTACCTCCCCCTATTCTTGCCAGCCAGTTCTCTTGGCTACCTTCCCTATTCCTCCACAGGGTGTTTGGGAACTTCTGGATACATTCCATATCACACTGGAGCTAAGGGCCCCTCACTTGCAGAGCTCCTTCCAAAACCCTGTATCTAATTTTGTATATGGAATTCTGTGGGAAGACAGAGGCATGTGTCTCTCAATTGTTGCCTCTCTTATCTCTCTCTTCCTTCTTCCCTCTACCTTTTAATTAAGAGTCAGGCTTTTCTTTTACTTCCCTATGTCACAGGTTCATGGCAGAGCTGTCCTAGATGGAAGGAGTATCTCCTCTGGAATGTGGGAGAATATGAGATTCTTATGATGTGAACTTCATAGGTTAAACAGAATTAAGGAAATTTAGCAAATTCTTTTTCTCTCCACTAAGCCTATTCTAGTCTCTCCTGATTAGGGAAATAAGTCTCAGAGCTACTTCAGACAATAGTCTATAATGGAACATAATTTAAAGAAGAAAATTAAAATCAATCAGTTTGATATTCACAAAATATTACACCATTATATTCTACATTTTTTAAAGAGAAGTCAGAAAATTGGATTAGTATGTGAAATATCCCTTTTTAAATGTTGGCATATAATCAATATCTTAATTTAAAAATTATAAAAATATATAAAATAATATGCTCTTTTGCTGTTAGGAACCAAAAGTGTTCTAAGAGACTTAGAGGTATTAACTAATTATCCCCAAAACCTATTTTACAGATGAGGAAACTGAGACACAGAGCAAGTAACCTGACTAAACTGTACATGGTGCAAACCAAATACATGACTGTGAGAAAAATTTGTCTGCAAAACCACCAATCTGCAACCTCCTGTTTATGATATATTTGCATAAGCTAGAAAGACAAAGGCTTTGAATTCTGACTTGGCTTCTCTGCTGAATGATATTGGACTGTCACTTAAAAAAACCACTTAACCTTGCAGTGCTCACTAAGTGGTGGTTTTCTATTCTCTCCTTCCCCCCACATGGATGATTGCTCTGAACGCTCATGGTATGCTTGTATATTATCTGGAATGCATAAATCCTGCCTACTGTTCAAGACCCAACACACTCCCAATACCTCTAGAAACAGTCTGATATAGGAGACAGCCCTAGGCTCTGTTCCAGTCCTGATATTGTTCCTAATCCTTTGTGTGATCTCAAGCAAGTCACATCTTATCTCTGGGCCTCAGTGGCTCCGTCTTTAAAATGTGGAGGAAATCAATGGCTTTAAACTGTATTCTGAGAAACAGAACATTTCTCTAACAGTGGGGGCATGAAAGAAGGAGAACAATGAGTGCAAGGGGGAAGCTGGGTGAACAGGCGTATGGCTTCTCCATTTCCACTTCAAATTTAGCAACTCCATTTTAAGCCACCAGATTTTATTAGAAGGAAATGACTAGACCTTTTATGTACCCAAATTCCCTGGAACTATCTTTTCTTGGCTTCTCTTTTTTTTTTTTTTGCGGTACGTGGGCCTCTCACTGTTGTGGCCTTTCCCGTTGTGGAGCACAGGCTCTGGACGCGCAGGCTCAGCGGCCATGGCTCACGAGTCCAGGCGCTCCCGGCATGTGGGATCTTCCCGGACCGGGGCACGAACCCGTGTCCCCTGCATTGGCAGGCGGACTCTCAAGCACTGCGCCACCAGGGAGGCCCTCTTGGCTTCTCTTTTGAATTCCTTCTTGTTCTTAACATGGAACTGAAGGGTCTGACGTGTCTTCTAAATTCTGGCTAAGATAACACTTATTTATTTATTTATTTATGGCTTTCTCTCCTCTTTCCTACCCAAAAGTGAAATTAAAGGTGAACAAGAGTAAGCAAAGACCAGCATGGAAACTTCTAGCAATCTCACAGAGAGTTTTCAGCAAAATGTGATGGATTAGGAAACTTCTTAGTTTCAAAACAGCTACCAAGTAACATATAAAAGTTAAAGTGACACACAAAAGTTATTATCTCATTATCCTGTAATTTTATGAGTTGCTCCTTTGCATTTGAATATATCTCATCATGGGGAATGCCTTTCAGGAAGCAAATTCTTTGTATTTCTTTCTTATATGATTGCCCCAAAGCTATCATTATAACTCCATTAGGGCAATTTTTCTCCATCTGAGGGTGGGGCACTGGAATGGATGAAGAGGAATGGATCAAGCCCTCATTTTCTTCAGCCATCTTCAGCTCTGGTTTCAGGGCAAGATAGACCCAAATCTCCTTCCCAATTTTCTGCTTAGAGAATAAGATGCTCATGCTTTGAGTCAGATTCTCAAAGTTCCTTCGGTGGAGGTGAATGAGGACACACAATATTTGCAAACCATCACACATCTTCAGAGGATAATTACAGTATTCTTGAAATATCATGAACTTTCATTTTTAATCTTCTAGATTAAAATGAATTTATTTCTTGTTTCGAAGACAGCTTGGTGCATTGAAAACCTTGGAGGGTTGATACTCAAGTCTTGATTCTAATTTCACACCAACCTCTACATGCTTTGGGGCAAATTACTTCCCCTGACCAGGCTGCACTTTTACCATTGGGAACTTCACAGTAGATGGTTCCTGAGATCCTTCTCGATTTAGATATTCAAAGGACAAATTACTACCGGGGAAATTATCTCCAGTTGTTTGTTCAGTCTTCAAAATCACCAAAGGATTTGGCTTTGACATTAGGCTATCAAAGTTGGTCCTTAATAGTCTATGCCCTGTGCTTCAGATCGGGCTGTCTAAAGGCAGGCAAGCTGGATCTTCTTGAGATGACTGGCTTGTTCCCTCATTGCTTGGGATTCTTCACATTCAGAGGTCCACTGTGAACCTCAGTTCACCACCATCTTCCCCTTACAATGGTATCTCTGCAGTCAGGTGTAAGATGGTGATCTGGACCCCTCACTGACATTTCACCCAATACTCCAGACAGCCCTTTTACTAATTTCTTTCATTCCTCCATCACTGAGTCATGGTCCCTTTAAGGGAGCGGCCATAGTTGAGTAGTGGGAGCAGCTGCTGGCTGCAAAAAGACTTGCAGGATTTGGCCTACCCTGGGCCACTCAACGCGCACGCTCGGGACCGGGGGCTTGGTGGGAAAGGAAGGAGGGGCTTAGGGTGCGCCTGCGCATCAAGGGCGCGCGCAAGGGGCTGGTTTGGTGATCCCTTTAAGAAACCGCAGGCGGAGGAATTTCTCTGAGAGAAAATAATCCTACTCACGGGGCCCCTTGGAGGCCATTAACCCCCCGAGTCCCGGCCCCCCCCCTTTCCCGGGCAGGCCCTACCGCCTACGCGCGCACCCGTGGGATCTCAAGATCTCCGACCCGGCGCGCGGCATCCGCCCCCTCCCCACTGTAAGCGCCAGGCTCGGCCAGGTCCGGGGAAGCTGCCGCGAGGCGGCCGTGCCTGCAGTGTGGGCGGGGGCCGGGGGCCCGAGAGGTTCCGCCGCCACAGCGCTGGGAGCCGCAGTGGTTCCGAGCGGGGCTCAACATGGCGGAGAGAGAGGTGGAGTCCAGCCCCCGAAAGAGGGTAGGTGAGGTGAGGCAGAACTCGGGCGGCGGGCGGCGGGGGGCGGGGCGGGGGCCGCGTCCCGGGGCCGGGGCCGGGAATGGGCCATGCGTAGTCTCGTGGAGGGGTCGCCGAGGCCCGGTTGGGGAAAGGTTGCGGGCAGGACTGAGGCAACCTTGGGTCTGGAGCGCGCTTAGAGTGGTCCTTCGGCAGGTGGGACAAAGATTTGCTGCTGGTTGGGAGGGGGAGGGGCGGGGGCTGTTGTTTGGGTTTCTTTATTTTTCCAACACTGGGGGTGGGTTATTTGGGTCAGGGGAGGGAAGGTGTCAGATACTTAAGTGCATCTTTGGTGAACCAGAGTCTGGAAGTTTAACAGGAGAGAGGTCAGGTGGGGGTGGTGGTGGCGGGAATGAGTGGTGGAGGGGTCTTCGGTGATACCATCGCGAATTCATTTTCCTGCCTCCTTTCCACTCCCCCCCCCCCCACCAACCGTTATCAAGACCAAGGTGGAGGTGGTGCTCTTACCTGAGAAGAAGTGGGGTCGTTGGCATGCCCTGATGTATGAGAAAGATTTTGGCAACTATGAATGTCATTTTCTAGTCTAGCCCCTTTACCAACATTTAAGAACGGGGAAGAGTGTGACAAGTTTTGTCATATCAAGGATGTACCCAAACAACCTGCAGAGGCGAAGCCAATTCCACATAGTTGTTGAGTGCCTTTTAAAGTTTGTCTTGCAACTTTTCTTATTTAATTCTGAGTGATTTTTTTTTTTCAGATGGAGAATAATACAGTACTGTCGATTGAGCAGTATTTTTAGATTTTTTCTTTTACCCCCCGCCGCCCTCCCGCTTAGCGTGTTAAGCAGTAAGTTTACTACCAGGAATCTTCCTTTTTGTGAATGGTATCAAAATGAAGTTAGTGTTAAGCTAACTGCCTAAAAAATTACTGCGTAATCTTTATTGAGAACGCCCTTTCGATTTATCATAAAGTTAGCAATCTCATATAGATAATACAACTAACATTTTGAGTGCTTACCATGTGCCTGGCACTGTGCTTTATAGGAAGAATTAAACCTCACATTTACTATGTAAAACACATTTTGCAGATGAGGAAATGTAGGCGTAGAGGGGTTAAATAGTTAAGATCAGATAGTTAAGAGGTTGAGCTGGGATTTGAATCCATGTTTGTCCCAACTACGGTGCTTGTTTTGCATGCCACATAGTTTTTAAAATCTGTGTTTCTCTCCTTAAAAGCTTAAATGGTAAATAACGAGGGAATTGTCAAGCAGTATTTTTTCCACAATTGATTAGGAAAATATTTTCAACTACATAGCTGAAAAAATTTACAGGGAGTGTCCATAGTATCCACCATCTAGAGTCTACCGTTAACATTTTACTATACTTGTTTTATCACGTATTAATCCACATTTATCTCTTTATTCATCAGTTCTTATTTTAATGCATTTCACTGTAGTATTGAGCAATTAAAATTTATTGTTGATAGTCTTAGGTTTATAAAATTTTAGATCTTCCTCATGCAATAATTAGATCTTCCTCATACATAGGACAAATTAAGCCATGTGATAGTATGTCCAAATAGTTCACTTAGTATAAATATTGGTTATGGAATGCATGTGTTTTGAAAATTTAAATTGTTCTTCATGCTGTGAGCCAGTTTTAAACTGGATCCTCATTATGCTTGAGTGAAGGCGTATGGCATGTGGTCCACCAATTAAAATATAAAGAATAAATTATTTTAGATGTGTAATGTTTATTCAAGGAGGTCTCTGAATCCAGTTAATACTAGTGCTGTTGTCATTCACAGTATAAGATAGAATGTTTTAGAAAACATCTGTGTGCTTTGGTAACAAATTCAACTAGATATTAAATACTTCTTTCTCTTCTAATATACTTAAAAGGTGCCACACTGGTAGCAGTCTAAACTTTTATTATTATTTTATTTTATTTTATTTTATTTTTTTTTTGCGGTACGCGGGCCTTTCACTCCTGTGGCCTCTCCATTTGCGGAGCACAGGCTCCGGACGCGCAGGCTCAGCGGCCATGGCTCACGGGCCCAGCCGCTCCACGGCATGTGGGATCTTCCCGGACCGGGGCAAGAACCCGTGTCCCCTGCATCGGCAGGCGGACTCCCAACCACTGTGCCATCAGGGAAGCCCTAAACTTTTATTATATTTTAACAGTATGTAATATACAGAGCACTCGTACAGGTTTTCCCCATTATTTTACCAGTTTCATTGTGGAGGAAGGTTACAGTCAGTGTCTTTTAGGCTCCATAATCCATTTTGGTTTTGATAGTTTGGTTAGAATGTTCAGTAGAGTTGTCTTAAATGGTACACATGGTGCATGTGCTTTTTTCCTTCAGTTTTCGTCTGTGCCTGTGCTTAAACTCCACGTGGATTCCATATGTGTACTCCAAGCAGATTAGTGGGGACTGTGTACAAAAGTACAGTATCTTATAAAATAGTCTGCCTTGAGGTAGTTAGGCCTAGATAATAAGTTTAGATTATTTAATCTGAAGTTTCATTGATGACATTGTATTGTATTTATGATGCTTACTGCCTTTGACTTTTATAATCATAAGTCACAAAAAATTGTTGAGTACCTGTGCTAGTTCATGAACTATATGCTAGGCATTGTGCTGTGGTATATGGTATTTATGATAATTTAGAATTATATATTCTGACTCTTCTGCTATATTGTGAACTCCATAAGGGTAGGGCCATTATATGCTTTTTGCATCTCCAACACCTATGACCTTCACATAATAGGAACTCAAAAATGGATTTTTGGTAAGAAAAGTTTACCTGTTGCATTAGAGGCTCTATGGCTTGGGTACCAAGTTATCTGGTTTGTAATTCTGGGACCTTCAGTTATCTTTCATATCACCCTTTACACCCTAAATTCTCTTCTGAGAATCCAGATTTAAGGATCTTGTGATCGTTCTGGATTACGGTTAGATGGGAGAGTGTGTTTTAAAACCATTGAGTTAACAACCTTAAACTCTTTGTAGGTCTGCCTGGTGTCTTATGTTTGTGGGCACTTAGGACAATAGGTATTAATTAGGTAAGATTGATTTGATTGTATTCAGACTATATCTGAATGCCAGTCTCTCAGTTTGTGAACACGGGGAAGCTGAATATGTGGGTGGGTGAGCACTACATCCATCTATCATCTCTGCCTTAGAAAGAACCAAGTTCAAATGAAGGCCAATATATATTTTTTTTTTAAGACACTGAGGTTTTTTATTTTGTTGTGGACCATTTTTAAAGCCATTATTGAATTTTGTTACAATATTGTTTCTGTTTTATGTTGTTTTGGTTTTTTGGCTATGAGGTATGTGGGATCTTAGCTCCCTGACCAGGGATCAAACCCGCACCCCCTGCATTGGAAGGCGAAGTCTTAACCACTGGACCACCAGGGAAGTCCCTGAAAGCCAGTATTATACACACACACTCACACTCTCTTACTTTAAAGTCAGGATACTTTGGAGATATTATTTATGTGTTTTTTAAAGACTAAAATTTTTATTTTCTGAAATAAGTTTTAAAATTCATTGCGTAGGCTTGTAAGTAGAGGGGTTATTTTATGCATGGTTATTATAATAAACTATTAGAAGCATGAGATCTAACTAAATCTGGTGGCCATATTTTTTTGTGAAATCCCTTTATCTTTTCAAAGGTTACATACAAAATAATAATAACTTTTGTAAATGTATGTGTTATTACCTGGTCTAGTAAGTTGTGTCCATTTTCATACTTAAACTTTTCTGTATGTTAAATTTGAGGTATATGTATTTGGCATGCTTAATAGAAAGAGAAAGCATATGTATAAGTAGTATGCTTCCATTTTTGTAAAAAAAAGTGATCTTTCTTCCTCACGTATGTGTCTATACTTGTATATGTATGAGCTTGGAGAAACTTGTGGAGGACACATGTCAGGCTGTTACCATTGATTACCTTCAGCAGGTGGGGATGAGAAAGGAAAGTGAGACTAAGGGGCAGAATTTTGCAAAATGGAAAAATACTCGGGGTATAATATTAAGTGAAAATGTAATCTACTTTGTTATTGTAAGTATGTAAAAATTGAAAGTGCATGTTGACAGGGATAGAAAATAACATGAACAAATGAAAACATTGACTTTACTACTGATGGAATTATGGAGTTTTGTTTTGGATTTCTGTTATTTTAATATTTTATAATAAAATAATTGCAAAAGGTTTATCCCTCTTAATTCCTTAATGAACTTTTTATCTTTTGGCTAAATGTGTTGCTTAAAAACATGGTGGTACATATCATTAAAAATATTTGCAGATCATGTGTACATAGTGTAAGTTATCTACTTTAAGAATGCATTGGCTCTTCGTATAGAGAGCATTTCGAAGAGACCATTCTAGTGTTGACAGTGATCCTGTATTTTTTTCACAGTGCCCCTCTTGTAACTAGCAGAGGCTTCTGTAAATAATGATAATACCTGGTATTTATAAACATTTTAATTTCCAGTCATTCTAAATATTTTATATGTAGTATGTTTTTTAATCCTCATTAATTCCATAAATAGTAGTTACTATTATTGTCCCATTTTATAAATGAGGAAACCGCAGCACAGAGAGAGCTCAAGGTCATGATATAATAGGCTAAACCAGGATCAAGTACCATTTGAAAAACTGTACTGTTTGATAAACAGTATAGGTTAGAATTCATTATAATAACATGCAGTAATTAAAAAACATACATTAGTTATTAATATATATGATATATAGTAATATGTGTAAATAATAATATAGGTTCAGAATTCATTATTTGGAATTTTTGGTTGTTAAAATAATATTGAATTAGGGACTTCCCTGGTGGTCCAGTTGTTAAGACTCCGCACTTCCTCTGCAGAGGGTGCCGGCTTCGATCCGTGGTTGGGGAACTAAGATCCTGCGTGCTGCGCGGTGCGGCCTCCCCCGAAAAAAACCAGGAAGAAACAAAACAAAAAACGTTGAATTATATTTAAAT